AGAGGGTTTTGTGAGTGAAATGATGATTTGGTGTTGGGAGAGAGAGATTGGATTCCTTTGCTTTTGGAAAATCTGCCCAATTGGAAAGGGGTTAAAGGCAAAGTTAAGAACTTGTATGAGCAGTGATGATGATATGAAGAAACATCTTCAACATCAATGCAATGAGCACTGCATTAGCCTGTCATTATAATCAATCAGTATACTCTTCAGAAGTCCATCTAACCAAATTTTCTTTGTTTTTAGTTTTTTATAGGAAACAAAAGTCAAGAGAAATCCCAAAAGGAAGAACAAGTAAAGTTCAAATCTTTCACTGGAAAGAAGCATACGTTAATGGATTGATCCTTAATGTAATTTATGGATTTTTAGAAGCATGGTTCTGGGAGTTTTCGTCTTTCTTCAAAACATACTACCTTTGCCTATTATTTGAAATAAATATATAAAATTCTCCAACAACATCACTCCCGTAATTCGAACAAAATTTTCCATGAACCCTAAAACTAATATTTCCCCCTTCGAGTTCCAAATTTTGAACCCTAAAACTCATATTTCCCCCTTCGAGTTCCAAATTTCAGAGAAGAATGGGGCTTTCAGCAGGATTTCCCTACTTTGCCCTTACTGAAATTATATAATTACCACTCTGTACACATCATTTCTTAATTCAAAAATTAAAAAAATAAAATTAAACCACGTTTTTAATGCCACGTATATTAAATCTACACTGTCACCATGCCACGTACTACCCTCACTCACGGTGTTTGATCAATTTGACGGAAGGCCTGTAATTGATTAAATTTTACAAAAACAAGGAATCAATTGATACGCCGAAAAGAAAGAAGACCTATTTAAAATTCATGACCAAAACAGGGACCTACGGAGACATTAAACCTAAGAAACACTGATGACATAATGTTATCTCAATCCTCACCCTAATTCGGACAAGAGATATCTCCAATAAATAAATTTTAAGAATAAACAAGTTTTAAGTATTTTTCAAGCAAAAGCTTAACCCCTCAAATAAAGGGTAAACGAAGTAGTAAATGATCATGGCTAGGAAAAATGTTCAATGCAAAATGTAGCATATCTATTGCTGAAGTAACAAGAAAATAATAATAATATATAAAAGTATGCTGACGATTGCAAGGAAATCTTTTCTTTTTGCTTTCACTTAAAGGTATAGTGATTGAAACAATTAATTATGGCACTATTAATGAACCTAATCTTTCCCTCCAAATAGATAGACCTGAACAAAAGTGTAACTAACAAGAAAGAACCATTAATTTTTTTTTTATTTATCTGGAGCCAAAAGTCGTGAAGCAATTTTGTAAACTTGAAATGCAAATTAGTTCAATAAGCATATTAAAAAATTATGGCATGACATTTGAGTCTGTGGCTTATCAACACAAACCTGTGGCCCTAATTTCCCAGACGGTCTCGAATGATTAATTTATTATATAATTCAACATATGGTATTGTGTCATTAGTGGCTGTACTTTGAGGATAAGAATAATATTAGAAAAAACAATGCTTCGCGAGAGAAATAATCACCCACTTTGTAAAGTTTTATCCACACATTTATTCAAATATATGGTCTGTTTCTCTTAACATGAAAAGGACTGCTTATGGTGACCACAGAAAACCATCGTTTCGAGAACAATAAATTATTGTCAAAACAGTGACACAAGAACCACTTTATACGAGAAGTTTCTGAGGTTTCAAATTTAAAATATATATTATGGTAAATCTTTCTATTATTGTATATTTATATCCCTAGCTACGATAGGTTCCCAGGTTTTGTTTTTTCCTCTCTGGGCTTAGAGAAAATTGAAAGCTGTAATTACAATTAAATTGATAATTTATATTAATTGGCGGCTTGCTATTTTTTATTATAATTGAATTAGTGTTAGGTATCACATAACTAAAATAATGAAGATATAAGGACCACAAATTATGCCTGTATAAGATTTCATATTGTTGTACAAACATCTAAATATAAACAATTTATATGTAGACATTAAGAAAATACTGTACTTGTACCTCTTAAGATCCAAGTAAATACTTGCTCTTACATTGGCATGTAACCTGATATCAAACTTTATATAATTAAGATAATATAAAATCACCTAATTCTAGTACGCACAGCTGTTTATATATTGATTAAAAATTGGTTCAATTCCATTGTTTCTCAATCCACGTTCCTGTGTTTAATTGATTTTTGGATATTGATAAATTGGACAACTGGTCAAATTCTATTGCTTCATTTTTCATTTTTCATTTTTCATTTTTCATTTTTCATTCTATAAACAACTAAGATTTTTTACCTTTTAAGAGATGTGTTTAACTGTCCTTTGAGTCTATATTTTCTGAAGTAAAACTTCCTATATATTTTTTGTGGAATCTTCATTTCGAAAGATTTTTTTTATAAAAACTTGTTTTTAGTATTTATATAATACAGTAATACTCTTTGTTGTTATTAATAGAGACAAAAAGGGGTGACTTTGCCGAAAACAAAATATGGAAGAATTTTGTTACTTTTATAAACAATTAGTTTAAGTATGGTTGAAAGCAAGAAAATTGAAATTAACAGGTGAACTTTAATCTCAAAACAATTTCACAAAATTGGTCTATGAAACTTGTATCCATTATATTGTAATTAACTTATTTTTAATTATTGTGTGACTTTTATCAGATCTCATGTACGTACATTATGGTCTGAAAATTAGAAAGACGAGAGGGGTTCTACGTGGTGTTTATGATGTAAGGCAAATCACTATTTTTTCAATTTTCAATCCACTTCTATGATAACTGAAATAAGGAAAGTTCTTATTAATAATAAATTTTATTAGAATAAACTTAATATTAAGAGGTTAATTTTAAATCTATAGGTGAGATTTATATTCATAAATATATTGTAAATTAATTTTATTTTAATCCATGTGAGACTTGTAATAAATTTATAATTTTTATGTAACATTTAGTGTGATAATTTTTTTAAGACACTTTTATTTAGTTTAATGTTTTATTTTTCTTCGTATAGGAATAATGCTTTATTTATTGTAATAATAGAGATATTTCATTGTCTAGATAAATTTTCTGAAAACAAAGGAGACATAAAAACCAAAATTTGATAGGGAAGTGAAGAATCTAAGTGGAGTTGTGATCCCTCACTCAAACAGAAAGCATAATGCAAATTGCTAAAAGGGGTTCAGAAAATGCCTGGCTATATTGTGTGTGTTTCTCAATTAGAAGCCACGAGACAAAAAACTATAAAGAATAGGTAGGACCCTGCCACCCGAAATCTGCCTGGAGCTGATGCATCCCTAACCTTGTGCCTTTTGCCAGAGTAGAATTACCAACTTATAAATTTTCCAAAAGATTCCATGTTTTTGCTCACGATTCAAAACTCAATATCATCAACAACCCTTCCTTTTATTAATCTTATCCTTACAAGTCACTCACACTAATCAACCCACTAAACTAATGCATATTAGCTAACTAATACTTATAAACAACAACGCTCCAACCATATTCAAATTCTTTATTTTGGCTTTGCTTCACGACTTTTGCATCTCTACGTATTACCAGAGCAAAAGCTGCAATTCTTATTATTATCCAGCAAAAAAATTGAAAGCTACAGTTAATGACATGCCCTATATTAATTAACATATATATCACCATTGTCTCATCCACGAGAAAGAAACAAAATATATTAAAGGGCTCATTATGCTTGGTTCAACCAGAGAGGTATATTATGTAGAATTAACATTATTTAATAATGGACGTGAGATAAGTTAATCACTGACATCCATGTGCCGACCATGTTTTAGAAATGAAAAGGAAGAAATGTTTGTATATAATAATTAACAGACAAAAAACCTTCTGTGTTCATCATTATCGTTGTATTCTTTTTGTTTTCTGAAAAACCCTGTTCATCTAATCATTGATGAATATTTCTAATTTCCCTGCAACTCCATACCATATCGTCGGAAGTGGATTTCGTGTTTTCATAATAACGTTGGTAATTACTACTGTATAAACAACTATTTATTTATCGAAATGATGACATGGATTTGCGAACACGAACGACCAAACATTTGTTTCCAATAGCAACGGCATCTTCCAATTTATTACATTAATTGTTGTGTGTACTTATTTCTTGGTTTAGAATTAATATTCCACAATAATGAATGCATATATAGAAAACTTGAATTCATATTCAACTTAAATTTATTATATTAAATTTTTTTACCTTATTATTTTGTATTTTAAAGGTAAAAACAAACTGTAAACTTTCTTTCTTAAAATACCACTCGGTGTCTTAATTATGTACTGGTATTTATTTATTTAAGAGAGAAGATAATACCTGAAGCACTAAATTATACATTAAAAAATAATGAAAACTGAAAAGTATAATTGCTTGCATGGTTATTTGATGTGTTGTTTACGTGTGGTTCAATGGAGCCAAATCCTAACAAAGTAAAACTCAAACAAAAAGAGAAAGAAACTGTAGACACCTGACAGAAGTAACAGCGAACCAACAGTAGAGGGAGTATTTGCGTGTCGGTTTCAAATTCTCGAATGCACCGTGCCAATGCATGAGGTGGTGACACGTGTCTTTTGCAGGCGCGAGTTCAACGTGATTATTTGTCGAGTCTCGACAACAGCACCGCCCATGAGCAAGCGCAGTGAAGGACCACGTAGAATTCGGTCCCTGCGATTGTATCCGCCAAAACGAAACGTTTTACCCTTCCTCTGTTAACTTTTTTCCAAGTTCCGTTATTTCAAACGAAGTAATCCACGTCCACGTTCCAGTGCTGCGCGGAACATGGTCGGTCTTTCTAGGAGTGGTTGGAATCACGCCAGCTAGGACAAACCCCATCAATCATTGGTCTCTATCAAACAAAACAATAAAAAATTCAACATATTACGCTTGCGGGACCCACTCCCACTATCCTCACCCTCAGTTCTATTAACTCTAACTCATTAGGATTATAAATCCGCACCTTCCTCCTTAGCCGATCACACTCACTCACTCAACTCACAGGAATCCGAGGCGAGAACAAAGAAAAAAAAAACATGGAGGGGAAGGAGCAGGATGTGTCGTTGGGAGCGAACAAGTTCCCAGAGAGACAACCGATTGGTACGGCGGCGCAGAGCCAAGACGACGGCAAGGACTACCAGGAGCCACCGCCAGCGCCGCTTTTCGAGCCCTCAGAGCTTACGTCATGGTCGTTCTACAGAGCAGGGATAGCAGAGTTTGTAGCAACTTTTCTGTTTCTCTACATCACCATCTTAACCGTCATGGGTGTCCTTAGGTCTCCCTCCAAGTGCCAATCCGTTGGTATTCAAGGAATCGCTTGGGCCTTCGGTGGCATGATCTTCGCCCTCGTTTACTGCACCGCCGGAATCTCAGGTTCACTTTTTTTTTTCCTCAAAAACTCTGGGGAAAAATATATTTTTTTTTCAGCTGTTTAAGATAAACAAAGTTGCTTGTTTGTGATTGCGGTGCAGGGGGTCACATAAACCCTGCGGTTACCTTTGGGCTGTTCTTGGCAAGGAAATTGTCGTTGACCAGAGCGTTGTTCTACATAGTGATGCAAGTGTTGGGTGCCATCGCTGGCGCTGGAGTGGTGAAGGGTTTCGAGGGAAAAACCAGATACGGTGCGTTGAACGGTGGTGCCAACTTTGTTGCCAAAGGTTACACAAAAGGTGACGGACTCGGTGCTGAAATCGTTGGCACCTTTATCCTTGTTTACACCGTTTTCTCAGCCACCGATGCCAAACGTAGCGCCAGAGACTCTCACGTCCCCGTAAGCGTCTCTCTCTTTCTTCCTCTTAATTAATAAAAGTACACAAGTTTGGTGGAACTAATCGTGTGGTTTGGTTGAATACATAACTAGATTCTGGCACCTTTACCAATTGGGTTCGCCGTGTTCTTGGTTCACTTGGCCACCATCCCCATCACCGGAACCGGTATCAACCCTGCTCGTAGTCTCGGTGCTGCCATCATCTTCAACAAAGACCTTGGCTGGGACGATCACGTGAGCTATTTAATTTCATTCTTTCTTTTCTATTCTGACAATTCTAGGGTTTTCGGGAAAACCAATCTGGGCCGTCCGATCTCTGACGCTAAATGATTGTCTTTTTTGTGCAGTGGATCTTCTGGGTGGGACCATTCATCGGTGCGGCTCTCGCTGCCCTCTACCACCAGGTCGTAATCCGCGCCATTCCCTTCAAGTCGAAGTGATCGAATCCAACGGTTCACGGTTAAGCAATCAAGTTGGGGAAAAAAATCAAGCAATGTTTGTGGGTTTTTCGGTTTCATTTATCAAATGATCTGTTTTATCCTTTTTTTTTCTTTTAATTTAAAAAGTGTTGTATTCTGTATGTAAAGATGTAAACTTATGATTATTAGGTGGTGCATGTGTCGCGTAATGGGCCAGAGTTATCCTCTGCTTTTAAGTTGGAAGAGGCCCAGCTCATGTGTGATGTACGGCTGTGATTGTGTATTATTATGCAAAATCAAAAATAACACCAGAGTCATTTATGCATCTTTTATAATATTAATTTTATTTTGCGTAGAGGCCAGTGTGTAATTTTTGTCCTCTTCCCTGAAATGTATGTGAAGGTTGGGTTTCTTTATCGACGGCAGTGGCAGTAATGAGTAGCAACGGATAAAAGAAATGCATGGAGTGAAGTTAAGAAAAGAGTGGGGTTGGCAAGTAGGTGTGGGTGGGTGATGCTGTCTATTGCCTACGCTGGGACCACTTTCCTCGTCAATAATGCTCATTTGGCAGTGTTGTCTATTTAATAATGATTTCTGATCATAGCGCAGAGAAAAAAATAAATATGTACATTATTTTTTTTCCTTATTAAATAAACTTAGGATAAACTTCATCTTACCAACGGGATGGTATTTCCTTCTAGTTAGTTCCATGGAATATGACGTGGCACGCGTGAGGAGAACTGAGAAAAAAGCGTTAATAATTTGACACGTGTATATTACTTTTTTTTATTTATGGTTTTTTAAGTGTCTTTACAGATTCGTGATCAAAGGGTTGGGATAAGAATTTGGACTCTTATCTAACATTTTACCGTACCCAATTCCTTCCATTGTTTTTTCTTTTGTATAAGTTTTACCTCATATATACTACATATTAGATCTTTGTATTTATATTTAATAAAATCCAATGAAAATAAAAGCAATTAAAAAATTGAATTGAATTGATAAATGTCTGGATTGCATATTTCTTTATGTTAGCAAACAAGAAAGAAAGATAAGATGTCTATTTCCATCTCTCGTCATTCACCTTACTTATGTCATTTTATTATTTCCTAAAGCATCACTCTCCCTCCTTCAAATGTACACTTTCTTTTACCAATATTTATTAATATTTTGAATAACCTGTTTACCTTTTATTTTAACATAAAGATTACAACAGAAGAAGTGTGTTTACCGAGTATCTGTTCCGTCTAAAAAATATGCTCCCAAAATAGTTATTATTTTTCAGATTTCCATAAAAATTATGACATTTTTTATACATACATATTCGTGAATATTTTTATATATATATAAATTCTTTAAATTAAATAAAAGTATTTAATTTTTTAAATATAAATTTAGATAAAAATAATATTTAAGTACAGTTTAAATCAAATTATTCAATAAAATAATAATATAAATAAATATAATCTTTTCTAAAAAGGCAAATTTAAATAAGTTAGGTCAAAATATAAATTTTAAAAAATTAATCTTTTGTAAAATAACTTCAAATTCATATATTTAAATATTATATATATATATATATATATATATATATATATATATATATATAAACTTTAAATTTTTTTATCATGATTAATATTTTTTCACTAACTAATAGTTTTAATTTGATCAATTAAACTTAAAATAAAAAATTCAAATAAAATTTATTAATACGCGGTTAATTAAATACTTATTTTTTACAAATATCTATTAAAAATAACTATTTAGTATTTGTTACATATTTCATCCACAAATATCAGTGGACGTATTTTTTTTATCATCTCTAACACTACACCATAACATCATTGAATTACAATATCCTTTGAAATTTATTTAACTTTATTTTTCTTACGACTTTTTTTATATAATACATCTTATATAATCTTTGTTATAATTATTTAAGACTTGATGTTTTGGAGGTTTTTTATCCTATATTATTCAACTTTTTCATTAATTTATTTTTACTCATGAGAATTTTAACTTATATTTAAATTCATAAAATACAAACGAACTGGAGCTGATATTTCCTTTTAATTTAATAGCACATGTCTTCACTAGCCTTTTAAGTTCTTTTTACCATTTAAATAGTTTTTCTTTTTTCTGTCTTTATAGTTCAAATTTAACATTTTTGCTTCTAAAACGTGAGGAATCTACCTGCTTTCATTGCTCTGTTTATGTGTATTCCAAGAAGGTTAAGGTAAGAATGAATTTAACCACTAAAGTAACCAAGATGCTCGATTGACATTTTTTTAGCATAACCTAAAATTTGGAAGAAGTACTAACAGCTTGTTTTTATATATTATATATAGAAAGTGGTTGATTTTTACATTCCAATGAGCTGATCAATTATTATAATTGAAAACTTTGTTTAAAGCACGAATAAGGTATAACTACTATGCTGATAGTGTTGAAACTTATTCGCAACTTGGTTTCAAAAATGTTTATTTGAATATATATTACTCTGATTTTATTTTAAGAACATGATAGTGATGATCACATGTGATGAAGAGACAAATCGTAAATTATATTTATGCGTAAGTTGACGAACCCGTTTAACTCTTGTAGGTTTTTGTTTTTAATAAGATTGTCTTGTTCTATAAAACAAAAAATGCTTATTGAATATAAAAATTTTAATCTTCTGCACATTTTTTTATGTGGTTTTATTATATATTATTGTTATTAAATAACTCTCATAGTACTATTTAAGATTTAAATAAAATAAAAAGAACATTTCAGTATGTGTCAATGTGGTATGTTATTTTAAAGTTGAAAAATTATAAAATTATTAGGATAAATTTGTTTCCTTTGATTTAAATACTCAGTACATGTTCATGAATTAACTATTAAAATGTTACGGGGTTTTCATTTATTTATAACGAGTGTCTTATGATTTAAGCTCGTGTATTCTACAAAATAAAATCCAGAAGTATTTTCATTATTAATTATTTCTAATGTGTTTGTTTTCTAGTAAACAAAAACTTTAGTTAACAAATTGTTCAGCCCAACAGGATCAGAAAAAGAAACCCCAGCTATATGGGTTTTTTTTTCCTCTGCACATCTTGTAAATTTTTGTGCACCTTCTATTTATTTTAAGGTGAGATTTTTCGGATAAAAAAGACTTTGAAAAGTTTGCTCTGAAATAAAAAGGAGGTGTGAAAAAGTAGTGGTTTGCGAGAAAAATAGCCCAACAGACAATATTGACAGCAAATCAGCCCAATAAATGGGTGTTGCTCACTCCACCACCACACCTTTCTCCCTCCATCTCCCCTTTACTATTTCCTCCCTCAGTAAAATTTTATTTTTAGGGTTATTATTTTTTAATTTTAAACATTAACAAACTATTTCACTAATAACCTAATATAGTCCAGTACATAAATAAAATACTTTTCTTTCATTTTAACATTATATTTCTTCATCTCTTTCTTTCGTCGTTGTGAGATACTACAAGTTGCAAAGGTTAGTGGTGGTGGAAAGAATTATCAAGTAGTCTCCCTCTCGTGCTGCAGTGTGTGGAGTGGTGCAATGCGTGGAGTGGTGCAATGCGTGTCGTGCTTCCTCGTATTTGATTAAACCTTGAAATAAAATCCTAAAATAAAAAACTTAACCTTTAAACGGAGGTGACATCCTTCAACGGATGTCAACATCCGTTTAAGGAAAAACGGATATCGACATCCGTTTTACCTTAAACGGATGGACATCCGTTGAAGATGTCATCTCCGTTTAAAGGTTACATTTTTTATTTTAGGGTTTGTTTTATTATGAGACATCCGTTGAAGGATGTCACCCCTCCGTTGATGTATACTTCCTCACGCTGGTTGATGCTCTGGACGCTCCTCGATGTTCTTCCACACCACGGCAGCGACGCTCCTTCACACCACGGCGACAATGGAAGCTTTCAAACAAAAAAAAAACTGGGAAGAAAAAGGAATGAAAGTGCGGGAACTAGGGAAGTGAAACGGAAATGAGGAAAGGGGAAGAGAGTTCCGTGGGTGGGTACTGGGAAAGTAAAATTAAGGTTTCAAATTATTTAAAATAGGATAAAAGTAAAAATCTTTTTAACTTAAGGATATAATTGTATTTAAAATAATGTGAGGAGGTGAAGGAAGTATAGGGTGATGGTGGAGGGAGCAGCACCCCAATAAATACTAGCCCAAACCTCTGTGCCTCAATTACTAAAGGTGGGCCTATCACCACAGACAAGGCCCAAACTGTTGCATCGAACATATTCTTCCACTAAGTTGTCAATAACTCATTTCCTATATGAAAAAAACTTAATAGAAGTGTTTTTGTGAGGGAGTTGAAAGACATGAAAGAAATTTTTTTTTGTTTAAAATTTTAATATATTTTAAATTTTAAATTTTAAAAATGAATGAAAATATTATTTCAACTTAATTACATTAAATTTTATTCACAATATCAAATGTAACATTGAATGAAAAATGTGTGAAACAATATTCTCAACTTTTAATACTTTAAAAATAATTAATATAACTGAATTAAAATGATTACCTATTAAATTTTAAAATTTATAAATTGAAATATAGATAAATTTCAATTTTACGAAAAAATTTAAAAACTAAAAACATATTTTATTTAAAAAAGTAATGTTATTATCTTAAAATATTATATTTATTCATATTTAATATTTAGAAATTAAAATTTGAGATAATGTAAAATATCCAGTAGAATTCAAACCCTTTATCATTATTCTACTTCTTTCCATGGGAATTGTATGTTTAAAAAGTATACCAGTATATTAATGCATACATAAAATAATTACACGCACACACTTTATTCATTAATTTTCATCCTTATTTATTAACAATTTTTTCGAAAGCAAAAACAAAAATATATCATATATAAATGTTAGTACTTAATATTACAACTATTAAAATTATATTTAATCATTAAAATTATATAAATAATTTTTTACAGTAACTTAATTTTGCATTAAATACAACTAATATTGTTAAGTTCAATTACATCTAACAGATGTCATAGAATTATAATTTTCAGTCATGTAAAACAAAATTGAAGTGTTACTTTCATAATACATACATATATATATATATATATATATATATATATATATATATATATATATATATATGTATATATGTATATATGTATGTATATATATATATATACATACATATATATATATATATATATATATATTAATTTATTTGTAGTTATCGCTTTAAAATTAAATAAATATGTTTCAAATCCTTTTTTTAGTTAGCATACTATAAATAGTATGTTTAACTAAATAGAAATTAAAAAGTA